TCAATGTTGAATTTCCAGCTGATGTTATTTCTGGTTGCGAATTCTGCAAGCTCGTTTGCCTTAAAGGTTTTTCCATTGTCCGAAATAAACATTTTTGGGATACCTCTTCTGGACATGAATCTCTGTAAACAGCGAATAAATGCCTTTGTAGATAGATCTGGAACCAATTTGAGATGTAATGCTCGTTACGAGGCACACGTAAATAGACAGATATACGTCTTAAACACAGATAATTTCGTACCTTTTGAGAAGATTGGTTTGGAATAAACGGGACCTGCGAAGTCCACCACCGACTCGCGTGAAGGCAAAATCGTCAGAAACTCAAAAATCTGGTAATGACGATTGAGGTGGTATTTGATAAGTTCCTCCTTCGTATCTCTTGGACGTAGTACATTTTGCAATAATCTTCTTGACAAATTGTCTTCCCTTCGCAATCCAATGTTTTGAACGAATTTCGCAAAGTGTTTCTCTTACACCATTGTGCATTACTCTCCTGTGACATTCTTCCACCAACAAGGTAGAAAACCAATGATCATTGGGCAAGAAAACTGGATGTTTAGCAGAAAGTTCAATATTAGCATTGGATAATCTTCCACCACATTTCCAGATACCACAATTATCCTTGAATAGACCCAGAGATGCTTGAACTTGCTTGAAACTTTTGCTTGTTTGAATCGCTCCTTGTATGTGCTTATACCATATATGCTTAGCTTCTGTTATTTCTTCAAGGGAAAGACGACTTAGATTTGGTTCAGTTCCGGAAACCTTTGTCCGAAGGTCTGCGATGAATCTTAGAACATAACTCGTAACTCTTAGCAGTTTACAAAGAGTGCTGTATCGTTCCTTAAGCAAAATGTTCTCTAACGATAATAGCGTTTGCTTTTCTGTAACATTGTCATTGGCACATGACAAGCTGGCTCCACTAGTTGGTTTGGATTTGACTTCTCTCTCGCTTTGAATTCGAGCCTCATCGTTTATAGAAATAATTTCTTCACCGTCTTTAGACCATTCAGGATCATTTCTTGCCAAGAAGTCTGGTCCATTCCACCATAACTTGCTCTGACTCAGTTCTGAAGGTAACATACCTCTTGACACAATATCTGCTGGGTTGTTAAGAGGGCCTCTCAGTAAAATCCACCCACTGGTTTGGGGAAGGAAAAATAGATTTAGCTCATATTTTGCATATGAACTAGACTTTGGTCAATATTAATCGAGCTTCTTTCAGAACGTTTCAACTTTCTGTTTTATAGGAGTTATAGCCCATGTTGAAATTTGACCTTGCGAGAGTATTTTCAGACCGGAAATGAAGGGGAATTTTACAAGAATTCAAATGATTTTTCAAAAACGTTGTGATGCATTTATCCCCTCCAGTTACTGTTTACATGCAAGATTAACACTAATACTCTCGTTTTCATGGATATTGAACAACTTTATTTGCTTAATACGATTTTTAAATAGTTTTACAAAACTATGTTTTCAAGATGGTGGCGGGGGGCTGAAAATTGCTCATATTTTACTTAAAATAGCTCAAAAGTGGCACCTATCTCAAGTTCAAAAGGCATGTAATTTGAAATTATACCTACTAAAGTTAAGTAATCAGGAATAAAACTCGTCTGCAAACAATTTTCTGAAAAGTTATAAATCTCCAAATTGGGCCTATTTTTAGCTGTTTGTTTACATTCGCGTGTTCGCTGATCAGCGACACTAATAATTGAAGAGTTAAAATAAGCTGATTTATTATCCAGTAAACTTTCTTAACTTGTTCACAAGAATATATACAATTTTGTGAAAATATAATTACAATATATACAAGCGATCATGTACAGAACATTCCCGAATTCGAATTGCTTTACATTTACACTTAACTTACACTTGCACTAATTACACTTACACGGACTAGTAGTAGTACAGTTAGAACGATTCTGCTGGTGTCTACGACCCTGACATCTTCTAATGTTATTAAATATATATTGGTAATATAATAAGAACTACCATAATCTCCTGATTATGACTTTGATCTGCCGCTCCCACGGTGGGAGGTGCATGTCTGAACGACCAATGTGAGTAGAAAACTTACTTAAGTGTCTCTGTGCGATGTTTAGGTCATGAAATAGTGCTACAGGTAATATGGTTTAATGCACTGTACAGAAACTCCCATGATTTTGATGTCGCTCAATATGATAATCAGAATCCTGTTTAGCCGAAGGGTTGCTATTTTTATAAAAATACGTGTACTGACCGCTCGATTAGACAAATTCGGGTAACGTTTCTTTATACCCAATTCACAACTTTATATAACCCACATGCCTAGTTACTATTGTTCTAGATTACTAAAGCATAAAATAGAACAAAGGTAACTAACTCTTAATGCATAAGTTTAATGTTTAGTTACTGTTGCTCTATTCAGTCCATGCTTCTGTAAACTAGAACAATAGTAACTAGGCATGTGAGTTATCCAAAGCTGTGAATTGGGTAGCAACGATGTAAACAACGTTAGCCAACTTTGTCTATTGGCTTCGTTTTTGTTGCATGCCATATATGGCATGCAACTTTCATATAGCTCTAAATTTCGTGTCGTGAGCGGCGGTGAGCGGTGAGCGGTGGTGAGCGTACCAGTCACGTGGTAGATTCGTAAAAGACGACTAATACCGAGTTTTTCCAACGAGAATTTTCATGCTGAGTTTTCGTCGAGGAAACGCAAAGAAATATTGATTATTTGCCGAAAATTTACATAATTGAGCGCTTTAGAAAATAGGTCGAGGTAGGTAAAGCTTTTCTGTTTTTAACTTACCTTGTATTTTGTTATTTGTTGTGATTTTGGAGCCGTTGTGCTCGCACTGATTATCAGGCGTTTATTTATATTCATATATCGTGAAAGCCTCAAAGCCCACGCTATCAAAACACTCAATTTTTATATACTGAAACGGAGCCATTGTGCTCGCACTAATTATATACTGTGCAAAGCTTCAAAACTACAGCACATTTTGTAAATAACATGAAATATACAATAAATATCAAACAAAATTTGAATTATAAATAGTATTGAAATTTAATACAACGAAATAGCAACCATTGTGAAGTACGCATAAGATTCAACATGACATTCAGCATGACATTCGATATAGTGTAAATTAACTCATTTCAATCACTCAAACGACCATACAGGTCATATTAGCTGACTAGTACCTTTATGCTTTTTCTACGTCGACAATTTCAATCATTATACAAATAATGAATGTTTATGTGTGCAATGGTAAGAATATTTTCATTCGGTGAAAGATGGAATAGGCTAATATTAAAAAGTTTACTGTAAGCTTCCTCCATTTTGACGAGTCGTATTGGCATTAAATCCCATTTACTGAGTTTCGAATATCGGGTTAAAATAAACTGCGATCACCGTACGAGAAGCATTTTGACGGATGCGATTTATCGAAAACACAAAGAGTGCAATGGAATAAAACGTATAGTACAATTGCACTCGCAAGAGTGCAATGGAACGTATTCCATTGTACTCTTGGGAAATGGAATTTTCTATTCAATATCACGTGACCATAAACAGCCAATTAAACTATCAGAATTCAATGAGATATTATATAAAGTTTAATTAATAATCATTTTCAATCTATTATAGTAATTCACCTTTCCACGTTTTTTTATACGTTTTAAAAGATGCAATCAAGCTAAATCTATAGGAAATAACGTTTAATATTTAGTTATAAATTTGTAAAGGAAATCTAACAGTCAATCGCTTTCGATAAAACCTTGACCGACCTTGACCTTGTTATTTCCGTCGCTTGCAACTAACGATGAACGGTCGCTCATAAAAACATTGCCTATTCGTGTGAGAATCTTAAGTTTCTTATTTTGACATAAAAGCTATTTTTCAATAAATATATTGATATTATTAAACTTGTTGAATCAATATTTTAAGTTTCACGCCAGTTGTATCAAAGGTTATAAGTGCTATAGCGCATCATAAGTCTCAGAAGGCATGCAACATGTACGCATTGCGTACCTATTTTTATATGACATGTCTATTACGTATATTCTAATAATGTATAGTTATGTAGCGTAACAAAAGAACATTTGTTGAAAAACTGGAATAAATGCCTGTTATACGACTGTTTAAGGAAGCCTCACATATCGATTTTGTCCATGAGAAACGTCATATGTTCGTTTCTCTGGAGACCCCCACCCCCCCCCCCACCCCTTAGAAACGTCACACATAGTTATCGATATTTTGTTATTATAGTACACATAAGGTAATTTTCCACTATTTTTTACGGTCGGCTATTGGCGATGCTTCCGCGAGGAATATGTCTTCTTCGACATATTTTTATTAATATATATGAACTTCAAAATTTCCAACGTTTCTCAAAACAACTTTTTTTGCATGAAATATTGATAATTCGAGCGCGTTTTTCTTGAAATTTGAGTGTTTTCAATGCAAGGAAGGCGTAATTGCGTAACAATATAAATGTATACGTATAGAACAAGTATGGTTCTACGAATGTATAGACTGGTGTTTGTATCAAGTTTTTTCTTTTTTATATTCTGCAAAGATGATTCCGAAATGTTAAAAAGACTTTCGAAAAAACTATCGAATTTTTCCACGATGTTTACAGAGAAACGTCACAGCTGCAACCCCCCCCCCCCCCCCC